ATCGAAATTCCGCTTATGATACAAACCAGACAAATTCGTCTGGGGAGTCTGGTTTATTTCACATCACATGATCTCCAGTTCCATATACTTCTCCGCAAATGAAATAATCTCATTTTTATGGCCGATTGCAACTCCATTGGGCATATGAGCCACATTTCCTTTATCCATTCATCTGTTGATGAGTGTTTAGGCAGATGCCATATCCTAGCTATTGGAAATATGTGACAATCGACACGGGTGTGCAGGCAACCCTCGGCACATTGATAGATAGATACCCTCATGTGTCTACCAAAGAAAGGGATAACGGTTTCTATGGTAAGTTTAACTAATTAATTTTTTTTGTTTTTTTTTTGGTTTTACGAGACAGGTTTTCTCTGTTTTGGAGGCTGTCTGTCCAGCCTGGCCTCGAACTCACAGAGATCCGCCTGCCTCTGCCTCCCAAGTGCTGGGATTAAAGGCGTGCGCCGCCAATGCCCGGCTTTAACTAATTAATTAATTGGAGACAAAGAGTCATTGTGTAGCTCAGACTATTGTTGAACTTGCAGTGCTCACTCTGCCTCAGCTTCCTAATTGCTGGGATTGTATGTTTAAGCCTTATTGCCCAATCTCACTTAGAGCTTTTGAGGATCCCCATGCTGATTTCCACAGTGGTTACACCCATTTACAGCCCCACAGGGTGGGTCCAGTGGGAACAGCCCCCATAGGGTTATATATTTGAATGCATGATTCCCCAGCTTGTGGAACTGTTTGGGAAGGATTGGAGGTGTGGTCTTATTGGAGGAAGTGTGTCACTGTGTGGGTGGGCTTTGAGGTTTCCAAAGTCCTCATCATTCCCAGTTAACTCTGCCTTGTGCTTATGTTTCAGAAATAAGCTCTGAGCTATTTCTCTGTTGTAATGCTTTCCGCCTCCTGGAACTGTGAACCCCCAATTAAATACTTTCTGAGTTGCCTTGTTCATGGTGTCTCTTTACAGCAATAGAAAAACTAAGACAGACATTTTGAGTGGAGTAAGATGAGGTCTCAGTGTGCATGTTTTCTATTTTCATTTTGTGTGTATGTGTGTTTGCCTGTATCCATGTATGTACACCCCATGTATGCTGTGCCCATACAGGCCAGAAAAGGATGTCAGATTCCCTGAGACTGGAGTTACAGGTTGTGAGCCACTGTTTGGATACCGGAAACCAAGCCTGGGTCCTCCGGAAGAGTAGCCAGTACTCTTAACTGCTGAGTCATTCTTCCAGCACCCCTCCAGTGTAGTGTTGATTGACATTTCCATGTTGATTAAGGATGTTAAACATTTTTTCATATATTTATTGGTTATTTGTATTTCTTCATTTGAGAACTGTCTATTCAATTTGTTTTTCCATTTACTGATTTGGATTATTTGTTTTTTGAGTGTTTAAGTATTTGAGTTCCTTATATATTCTAGACATTAATTCTTCTGGTATGTACCTAAGTTCTGCCCTTCCCATGCTGTAGGCTGTCTCCTCATGCTGCTACTCTTTCCTTTGTTGTGCACTCTTTAGCACCACCTCATCTGCTGGTGTGGGGTTCCCCTGACCCGGTGAAATCTCCTAGGAAACCCTCTCTATGCCTACACCTTGAAGTGTTTCATCTTCAACCATCAGAGTTTCAGGTCTTACGTTAAGAGCTTTGGTTCATTTTGGGTTGATTTTTGTGCAGAGTGAGAGAGATGGGTTGTTTAACGTGCAGATATTCAATTTGTCTAGCACCATTTGTTGAAGATGCTGTCCTTTCTCTGGTGTATGTTTTTGGCAACTTCATTGAAAACCAGGCAGGCTGTGTGGGTTTGCCTCTGGATCCTTCATTATATTTCTGTGGTTTGCGTGTCTGGTTTTGAGTCAGTACCATGGTGGTTTTCTTGCTATGACTCTGCAGAATAAACTGGAATCAAGTGTGCGATCCCTCCAGCATTGCTCTTTTTCGCTCAGAATGCCTTCAGCTGGTCAGAGTTGTAAATACGTAGGCATGGATTTTAGTTTTGTTTATATATTTTCCCACTTCTGTGAAGAAAGGCATTGGAATTTTGTTTGGAACTGAATGCACTGAATCTGTAGGTAGTTTTTGGTATATTACCTGGTTTTACTATATTAACTTTAGGATAAACGAGCGTGAGCGATGTTTCCATCTTCTAGAGTCTTCACTTCCTGTCTTCAATGTCTTATCCTTTGTGTTACTCTAAGGAGACTTTCACCTCCTTGGTTAGAATTATTCCTGGTTCTTGTTGTTATGCCATGAAGAATGGGATCATTTAGCATGTTCCATATTGGTATGTGGAAACTGCTGATTTTTAATTTTGATTTTGTACTTTGCTGAGAGTACTTATCAGCTCTAAATGTTCAGTGGCAGAATCTTCTGGTGTTTTAAATGTAGAATCCTAGCACCTACAAGTGAGTAGAGCTGGACTTTTCCTTTATCTTCAACTTAAAAAATGATTTCTTTATCTTTATTGTGTGTACATTAGTGTTTTCCTGCATGTATGTCTGTGTGAGGGTATCAGATCCCCCAGAACTAGAATTACAGACAGTTGTGAGCTGCCATGTGGGTGCTGGGAGTTGAACCCAGGTAGTTTGGAAGGTTTATATCCCCTTAAAAATCAATTTTTAGCTTTCTCATTTTATTTGTGTTTAGGATATAGGACCTATCTGTTATCAGTTCGTTATTTAGATGTTCTTGGTGATTGCTATGAAGTAGAACTTTCTAAATAGTTCATTTGTGTTTAAGTTGGATTTTTTTCTTAATTGGCCAGTGCAGACTACCATGCAGATTCACATACTTTTCATAATCATGTTGAATTGTCTTTAGCACCTTTGTTGAAATCCAACTTTAAATATAAAATTCACTTAAGAACATATATTTTTAAGTTTTAGCAAATTGAAAGAACTGTGTAAATCTCACTGCAGTCAGAGAACGTTTTGCTACAAAAACTACTTCCTGCTTATTTATTTGTTTTGTGGTAATCCTGTTTTTGTTTTTGAGACAGGGTCTCATGATTCCAGGCTGGACTTGAGCTTCTGTTGCTCTGGCCCCACCTTCAGAGCCTAGGAATCACAGTGCTGGGCACTGAGTCCATGGTGCCATGCATGTTAGACAGGCACTACTGGGGGACCTACATCTTGGCCCTCTCAATGGCTCTTGTAGGATTGATTTACCAGTTTGAAAGGGTGTCTGATGGGAGATGCTTTCTGTGTAAATGTTTCTTTTATTGGTTGATGAATAAAACACTGTTGGCTAATAAGGCAGTAAGATAGGTGGGACCAGGAGATGAGGAGAATTCTGAAAAAGGTAGGCAGGAGAGCCCGCCAGAGCAGAAGCCATGTGGGACCAGGAAGGTAGGACGTGCCGGACTCTTCTCCAGTAAGATAAGACCACATGGAAATACTTAGATTAATAGAAATGGGTTAGTAATTAAGACAGAGCTAGCCAATAAGAAGCCCTAGTCATTGGTCAACAGTTTCATAATTAATATAGCATCTGTGTGTTTATTTGGGACTCAAGGGTGGCAGGACCTGACAGGGCAAGAAGGCTCACATTACAGGTGTATGTGTGAATATACCAGTCTCATTAAGTGGTGGGTTTGTTATACTTTGAAATACTTAATACTTCCTATGACTGACTACTAAGAACATACAAGTTTAAAATTACTACCCAAATCAAATGTTAAAATAGCATCTGTCTTTATTTCCAAGAATTCCTTTTGTCTTCAAGTCTCTTTGTTTACTATCAATGGGGCTGTGTTAATATTATTTACTTGTCTTAGTGTTTCCACAAAGTAACATTAAAGTTTCTTAACTTATAGGCATAACTATTTGAATGGATATACTGTACGTAGACTTTTCTGAAACCTAACAGTCTCCACCTTTTAATAGATGAATTTAATATATTTGTCTTTAGTGATTGTTGTCATATTTCACTTTAAAAGTACTTTTTTATTTTAAAATTATGTTTATCTGTGTGTACGTGTGGTTGTGGGTATGTACATGTTAGTGCAGTGCCTTCAAAGTCCAGAAGGGGACACTGGATTCCCTGGAGCTGGAGTTGCAGGTGGTTGTGAAGTGCAGGTGTTGGGAACTGAACCCTGGTCTTCTGCAGAGCAGTATGCATTAGTAAGCACTGAGCCATCTTTCCAACCCAGTCATATCTATCTTTATCAGGGATTTATTTGTTCGTGTCTCCTGTGGTTTCCTCTCTTATGTTGTCTTCTTACTTTTCTACATCTCTCCTGCCCTGATTCTCCATCAACACAGAATTAATGCCTTTATACTCCCTGTTTCTACTGGGGGCAGAGACCCTTTTCCATGTGGCCTTCCAAGGACAATGAAGTGTGTTGATAGCCCATAGCAGCGCCCCACCAGGGCAATCACTGGGTGGATTGGTCCTTCTCCCTAACTCTACAAATACGGGGAGTCTATGTATCAAAGCTTGAGCCTCCAGTGGTGTTCCAACCTGGGGTTTCCTTCTTCCTAGACGCTTGCTTATCCATTGTGAGCTGCTCTTAGAGTCTAATCATTTGCTGGTGATGTTTATATGAAACATCTTCCGTGTGTTTCTGGGGACTGATTCAGGGGTTCAAATATTCCACTTGTACCTCTCTTATGTAGCAGATATCTGTTTTTTATTTGTACATTTTGGAATAATCACTGCAGCCATTAGGATATGAAAAATATCATGCTAATCCTGGTGTCTAGAAGTCCCGGTAGCAAAGTTAACTTCTAGTTTGATAGAGAATTGTTTCCCCCTGGAATAAAGTATGTTATTGTTGACTAATAAAACCTATAGACTAGTAGAGATAAAGCAAATTAATCTGGAGACAAATTTAACAGAGAAACTGCTTTTTCAATTCCTTTGCTACTTACTGGACCAGTCTGGGTGCTGAGGAAACAGTGTATCTCTTATTTTGAGAACATGGCATCCAGACTAGTCACGGCTCTCTAGAGGAACAGAATAGTATGGAATGATAAGTACATTTACCAGATTTATTAGAATGGCTTACAGGCTATGGTTCAGTTAGTCCAGCAATGGCTGTCTACCAAGAGAAAGTAGAATCCAGTAGTTGTTCTGTCTGTGAGGCTGGCTGTCTCTTCTGTCTTCAGTATATGCTGGAATCTTAAAGAAGTAGGCTCTCCTGCCAGTGAAGGAATGGATTGGTTAGTAAGAGCAAGCAGGCAGAGAGTAAACTTCCTTCTTCCATGTCCCTTATATGGCCCCCAGCAGAAGGTGTGGCCCAGATTAAGGGTAGATCTTCAAAAGATTTGTATTAAAGCTCTATTTTCCTACCTCAAAGATTAGAAGTGGGTCTTCCCACTTCAGATGGTTTAATTAAGAAAAGAATCCCTTACAGGTGCACTCGCCATTTGGGTTTTAGTTAATTTCAGATGTAGTCAAGTTGACAACCAAAACTAGCCAAGCCAGAATCCCCCATCGGGCAACTGCCCATGTGTCCAATGTAGATTTTTACCTAGTTCTGGAGTATTTAGGAAACCATCCAACAGTGTGTGTGTTTTTTTTTAACCAAGCTAGCTATTTATGAATGGGAGAAGGGTGACCCAGTGAGTTCTAAGGGCAGGGGACCAATGCTTGACCTTTTCTCATTTTTTTCTCCCAGTTTATTTTCTTCTGGTTAAATGACAAGTAGGCTGCCATGTTGGAGACTCAGAAGTTCATTTAGCACATACCAGTTACTGCATGAAGAACTGGTTGCAGCATTGTGGTCAAATGTATATCCCAAAGGAAGGTTGATGAAAGATAACTGTCCCTCTTAGGATGCATTGGAACCTGGTATCTGATCTGGACTAGTTCTGCCATACTCCGGTTGCCCTGTTAGGGATGCAGCACTGGTTTCTGCTACTTGAAGACTAGAGTGTCATACTTGTAATCTCTTACTGGCTGAGTGGAGAGAAAAAACAAGCATCTTAAATAACAGGTGATCTTAGTATTCTAATTATCGAGTGCTTTCATTACTGAGAGTTCTACCGAATGCAACTTCATTCTCTTTTTAAAATAATAGTGTGCGGGTGTGCGTGCGTGCATGCATGTGAGTGTGTGTGTGTGTGTGTGTGTGTGTGTGTGTGTGTGTTGCATGACTTGTTTGGAGGTCAGAGGGCATCTAGTGAGAAAGGATTCTCTCCTTACCTTGTGGATTCTGGGGATTGAAGTCAGGTTGTCAGGCTTGCTGGTAAGCATCCCCCACCTCTCCAGCCATCTTGCTGGCCCATCCATTCTCTTAGTGTATTTTTGAATGGTATGCCTTTAGAATTTTTTCTTCAACTTCTCTTGTTGATAATTCTATTCTTTACTCTTTTTGTCTTAGCCATTGTTTTATTGCTGTGAAGAGACACTGACCAAGGGAACTCTTATGAAAGAAAGCGTTTACTTGGAGGCTTGCTTAGAGTTTCAGAGGCTTAGTACATTATCGTTGCAGGGAGCATGGTGCTGCAGTGGTAAGCTGAGAGCTACAACCTGATCCACAGGTAGAGAGAGAGAGAGAGGGGGGGGAGGGAGGGAGAGAGAGAGAGAGAGAGAGAGAGGGGGGGGGGAGGGAGGGAGAGAGAGAGAGCACAAGTGAGCAAGCATTGGGTCTGGCACAGGTTTTTCAAAGCCCATCTCCGGTTATATACTTCCTCCAACCAGGCCACATCTCCTAATCCTTATAATCCTTTTAAACAGCTCCACTCCCCAGGGACCTAGCATTCAAATACATGAGCCTATAGAGGCCGTTTTTAACTCAAGCCACCACACTTTTTTTTTTTTTTGCCAAGACTCAAATATCTGACCAAACCATTATCTCAATCATTTGGAGAGATATTTACCTGTGGTTCTCTCTCCTATGAGGCAACACAAACAAGTTGTCTTCTGCAACATTCTGATCACTTGTAATTGGTTTCCTTTCCAGGCATTCTGGAATAGCTTTATTGCTAGCACCAGCATATCTTCTAGAACCATCTTGGACTTATTGAGTCTGTGGTTCATGTGGCATTGATGGAAAGGTTTTAGATATATGTTGGTGACTGGACAGTTGAAAAGTGGTGTCCCTTCTGAAGAGGGTTGGCTCTCCATTGGTTTCATCAGGAAGACAACAACATGCAGAAGACTCTCCCAAATCCTTCGATTTTTAAAATAATAATTGTTCTATTGCCACTGGTTCTATAGGATATCCTTGTGTACCAGATGATAAATGGTAAATGACAAGGTTTTAGCTATTTAGCATGGGTGAGCTGTGAAATATTACCCACCTCACTGTCACTCAAAGCCATAGTTATTTTGTAAACGTGTTAAATGCTTGTACTGTAGGCAGAGGCCATAGTACTTTATATATTGCATCCAAGGAACCTAGAGATGCATTGGGTTAGGGACCTACTATGTGGAAAAATTGTTTCTTTGTAACAAAGATATTGACATCCTTGGGCCACTGACAGGTCAGAATAGTCACAGAAGATTTCTGCATCTAGTTGGGTTTCAGTCTCCTCACAAGATGTCCTTGTCTTTCTAGGGCATTGGGGTGCCTGTGACTTCCATGGATTCTGTAGTTTACTGTTACTGATGTAGTGGGCCAAAGGATGATTTGTGCTGTGACAGTGACCTGTGTTTCAGTAGAATAAGCTGAGCTGGCATGGTCTTGAGATGAGGTGATAAAAGCATAGCTCTCAACCTTCCAAGGTATCTTCATTACTGTTCTATTGCTGAGAGGAGACACCATGCAAGCAACATTTAAAAGGAAACATTTAATTAAGGGCTTACTTATGATTTCAGAAGGTGATCATCATGGCAGGGAGTGTGCTTTCAGGAAGGCATGTATGTTCCTAGAGCAGTAGCTGAGAGCTCACATTTGATCTGCAAGTTTCAGGAGAGAGAGAGAGAGAGAGGGAGAGAGAGAGAGAGGGAGAGAGAGAGAGAGAGAGATAGGGAGAGAGAGATAGAGAGAGAGAGAGAGAGAGAGAGAGAGAGAGAGAGAGAGAGAGAGAGAGAGAGAGAGAAACTGAGGAGCTAAGCCTGACATGAATTTTTTAAATCTCAAAGTCTACCTCCTCCAACAAGACCATACCTTCTAATTCTTCTCAAACAGTTCCACTACTTGAAAACCTATGGGGGGCATTCTCATTTATATTACTACACAAGGGACAGCACACTTACCAAAGGTGGAGGCCATATCGATGATTTCAGACCCTCAAGTGTGATTCCCAACATGAGGTTTGTACAGATTGCCAGTCTGAGGTCACACCTAGAAGAGACTTGCTGTAAAGTCATCAGTCAGAGTGATAGCAGCTTTAAGAAATATCTAAGGATGTTTGAGCCAAACTTGCTCGGTATCAGAACCCATGGCTAGAAGCCTGGCCCCAGCGATACTGTCACAACCGCCAAGGACCCTCCTCACCTGTGTTTGCTTACATAGTCAAGCCCACCTTCATGGCCTCTGTTCCTTCAGATGTGGCTTTGTTATATTGAACGTGATCAGACTTATCTTGGAGTCACAGGCTGAAGTGACCTTCTTACCTGAGTGGGGACTGTTACCAGAGTGATGGGAGATATTCTTCTGTATGCTGTGAATATGTTTCTCTTATTTGATGGGGAATGTTCTTCTGTATATATATTTCCCTTATTGGTTGATGAAAAAGACACCGATTGGCAAGTATCCAGGCAGGAATCATAGGCGAGGCTATCAGATCAGGAGAAGGCTGGGGAGAAGAAGGCAGAGACTGAAAAAGAGACATCATGCTGCCGAAGGAGTAACATGGCGGATTGCAGGTAAGCCACAGCCTCATGGCAATACGTGGATTAGTAGAAATAGGTTAATCATTAAGAGAGTAAGAAGCCCTAGCTATCGGCCAACAATTTTAAAATTAATATAGTTTATTTGGGACAAATTGACTGTGAGACCAGGCTGGAAAGAAACTCCAGCAACACTTATTGGTTGATGAATAAAGCTGTTTCAGCCAATGGGCACACAGGATGTACCCAGGCAGGAAGTATAGGTGGGGCTACCAGACTAGGAGAATTCTGGGAAGAGGAACACAGAGAGTGAGTTGAGAGAGAGAGAGAGACACCACCGTGTAGCTGCAGAGGAAGAAAGAGGCCCGGGCATCACTGGTAAGCCATGATCATGTGGAGATACACAGACTAATAGAAATGGGTTAATAATTAAGAGAGAGCTAGCCAGTAAGAAACCTGAACCATCTGTCAGTTTTAAACTAACATAAGCCTTTGTATGTTTATTTGGGACTAAAGGGCTGCAGGATCAGGCAGGACAGTAACTTCTGTCTACACCAGAGGGATTCTGTGATCTGACATCCAGGATCTTCATGTGTCAAGTAACAAACAGGACTAGTCAGAGAGCAGTAGCAATGGAAGCATAGATTACTAAAGTGAGAGGAAAATGCAGTGTGCACTCTACAAACTGGGAGCTGGCTTAAGCCCAAAACTCTTTTGGGGTTCTTTTTATGAGTTTAGAAGGGAGAAGCTGTTCCTTACGGGAGGGACGAGAGGGACCCTTGCCTGGATTGACTGATGATCTGGTATATAACTCTGGATGATCTTTGTGTGTTTTGGCTATACAGTTCATAATTAAAAGCATATGTATGCCCTATCACACACACCATGACCTGCTGAATAGAGTTTTAATCTTAGATAGTTGCTTTAAGGACATACTGACTTGTAACTTGCTCACACCCTTTGTGTTTAAGCTGGTTTTTATATTTTTTATTTAAACATTTCATGCTATTCATTTTCATGTGCATAGCTGTGCAGCCATGTCGAGGTCAGAGGACAACCTTTTGAAGTCAGTTTTCTCCTTCCACTATGTGGTAGGTATTTCAGGCATTAAGCTCTGGCTGTCGGGGTTGATGGAAAGTGCTTTTTACCTACTGAGCCATCTCAGCCCAAAGCTTGTGGTTTTTATATCTCTTACCAAGATGTGCCTGACCACAATTACTCACAGGAGGGAGGCACTGGGTGTTGTTCTACTGGAAGAGTGGTTACCCAGGATTACTGGGATGTCCTTCCTGTAACATAGTTCAGAGCAACAGAAGTGTGCCACCTTCTCTTATGTCTATTGTGAAGTTTTAAGTAGTTACATGTGCCGGACAGCAGCATATGGACACCCGTAAGCAAGGGAAAACATGGGGTTCATCTTCTAGTCTGTATCCTAGAAGAGGCCAAGACTCAGACATAGGAAGGCTGGGATGCAGTTCACCTGGGAAGCAGGTGAGAGTCAGGTGGCTTCAGTAGCTGTGGGTGATTTCCTCTCACTTAGGAGAACTTTATAGGAAGAGCGGAGTTTTCCAGGAAGTGCTAGTAATTATGATACAGAAACAGAAAGCAGATGTGTTGGATGTCGTCGCAGGAAGGGAAGGAACAATGTGTTTATAGAACCAAGAACAAATGGTGTGCCCTTCCCATCCTTTCAGGGACACAGCCAAGAACGACAAAGAGCAGAAGACAGATGAATGACAGCTTCTCTTAATTTTCATTCATATTTAAACCTTCTGTTCTTAGATTTTTAAATGCAAACAGCAGCAGGAATGTAGCTAAAACTGGAGCAATAGAGACATACTTTTGAAAGCAAGACTGACTTTTTTCTCAGGTTCATATGAACACAATCCAAAGCGCTAATAAATAGTCATTAACTGCGATTCTTTCATCAACGAGGCTAGGAATCCACACATAGGAACCCTGATTTCCTGCTGACAGTGACACTCCAAAGAAATGGTAGGACAGAAGCTGATCTGGATGCAAGTTCATCCCTGTTCCATGTGAATATCAGAGAATGGAGTCCAGAACGTGAAAACAAAGAGTGTACAGGAAGGTCTCTGTGCTGGGCAGAACTCTGAGGCGCTCTGGGACCAAAAACAAACACTTGTTAGCAAATGAGAAGTCACTGTAACTTCTCTTAGTGGAGTCTTGCTGCTATCCATGGCTGTTGTGTCTTTTGAAGCTCTCCATTCCTGTGAGAACGGCCTTTTATTTACTAATGTCTTTTTGGTTTACTAGGCTTCTCAGTAGGTGTGAAAGGGTTTTGAAGAACCGATTCCAGAATGGTACATGCCTTTTGCTCAAAATCAACATTCAAACAACCCAGAGGTGTAGTTCCCTAGTGAGTGTCGAGCCTTCCTGTTGTTTACAGACAACCATTCTCTATAAAAGAAGAGTGTTACAAATTTTCATGGTTGAAATTTTTCATGAAATAGAAACTTCAGAAAAGAAGACTCCTAACTGGGTGTGATGGCACATATCTGCAGTCCCAGCATTTGGGTGGCTGAGGCAGGAGGATTGCTGTGAATTCCAGGTCAGGCTGAGGTATAGAGTGAGATGCTGACTTAAAAAACAAACAAAAAGCAAAAACCAAGAAGAGGAAGAAAAGTCGTTAGTTACCGTCTTACTGAATGACAAAAGTCAGTGGCTTACGGCACGAGGGTACAGCCATCATGTAGGGAAGGTACTGAGGTGACTGTGTGCAGA